GAAGAGGAAGGATGGCTGAAGGAAGCATTGGGAGATATATTCTCAGTTTCATCTGCTGTATCCGTAGACGACATGCTAACGTATAAACACATACTATGTATGCACCGAATATGAAGAGCAACTGCCGGCGTCGGCGTGCTGGCGATACCCCGAGCCTGAGTTCTATCCTGTCGACTCCTGCTCTTGTTCGTAGTTTTATGACCCGATGACCAATAACTATTGCAACGCTCAGGCCCGTATCGTCAGTCGTCCCTACAATTGTAGGGCGCCTTTATGGCCTCCTTGATTGTCATAGTTTTCTGCTTCTCCGTGTCAGAACTCTATTTTGAGGTTATGTCACAAACATCTATTTGCATCAAATTGTGCTTGCTTTTGGGTTATATCATGTTTTATCAGCCTGAAATTTCCTACAATTTAAAAAGAAAACATATCTTCACAATAGGAGAGCGCTGACGCTGACACGGGACAAGTGCAATCTAGAAATTTTTTAAGGAGAGAAAGGAGGATGACAATCAAGGAGGCCATAAACGCGCCCTACAATTGTAGGGACGGCTGACGATACGTGCCTCAGTTACAGAATTACTGCGTGTATCTCCAAAAAACAGAGGTGTTATAATTATTTAGGATTGGAAGAAGGATTCGTCCGAGGAAAAAATGTTATTGATGATTCCGAACCGCTCGAGCATTGTATGGAAGAATGGTTATCTTAAAATTAAATAATATTTTTTTCTAACACCTGCACTAACTGTACCTTGTATGGATGCAGTTTCAAGTCTGATTCGTTAAGACGTTTAGGTTATCGCCAAAGCATCTGAGTGCTTGTGTGTTGACAAGTTAGTTCATCTCGCACAGACCGTTCACTATTGAGCCATGTTCCCTTTGCTCCTCCTGCTCCATGACCGCCCGGATTGTTTTTGATTAAGGGTACTGCCAGTTGCTTGGAAGTTTTTAATCCATGATTTGATTAAATTAACACTTGAGGACTGATTAATATTGTGCAATTGGTAATGCGATCGGAATAGTCAATGCGCAGAGTCGTACATGTAACGATATTTCTGCTTGTAATGGCTAAACTAAGAATACAAAAGTATAACACACTACTATTTTTTATAGATAATAAAATTTTATACAAAAAGGCTATTCCCGGGCTGTTTAAATTTTTTCGACACCTTGATGGTTCTGGAAATATAAGGAGGGAAAGTTGAAGATTAGTATCGCAAAAATTATTTCACCCTCATAATCATTATCTATGATCAATATTGCCATTTTAAAGCAAAACCAAGTAGGGAAAACGTATTATTTTTTCTGAAAATGACGTTTTCATTAGGAAGATCATGTCACTCCCTCCCATCCGTATGTTTATTGACTGAGTAATTTCAATAACCATTGCAGCGATTCTAATGGAAGGGGAAATCTAGTAAATAGTGCAACACTCTTTTTCCATTAAAATCGTTGTAACGGTTGCTGATGCAATGCAGTGAAAAATAGCCAATAGACAACTGATGGAAGTTACTTACATTTTCATGATGAGAACATCCCCCCTTTCCCCTGTTTCCCCCCTATAGCACCACGGTACTCCATGGGTGTTAAGGCCTTAGGCCTGGAGTTTAAAAAAAATCATAAAATATCCGAAACTAATCAGTTTTCGTACTGACGCGTCGTGGTAAGAAAATGGATTCAATCTTAAATGGTACTCTTGATCATAGATAATGACTTATGGAGTTATCCCTACAAAAAAAAATGTTATATGCCGCATCTGTTTTGATACGGATTTTTGACTTCCGGTGTCGGAAAATCGTGAAGAACCTTTTTTTAGAAAATTGTGTTCTCTGCAAAAAACAACAGATAGCAGTCTCAGGTAATTAGCAGCCAATTATAAGTGAAAATATCCCTAGATTTACACTTACTCTTACTCTGTTACTTTTTTACACAGAGGATCTCAATCAAACGTTTTTTTTAAATGTCACCAATTTGAATTTATCATTAGTAGTCTCTAATCATATTAGCAAATTTCCCCGAAATAACTGTAAAGTCTTGTTTTATTGGTACAAGCTGTTCAAGAGGGTATTTAAAACAGGGACGCATAAAATGGGTACACCAATTTTTGTAGGAAAACTTTTTATTCGACAACAAAGAATGAGAAAACGTGTTTTTTGGGATTCAATCGAAACTGTTGAGAGGAACATAAAAACTTTCCACATAAGATTTTTAGGTAACTACTTGAAATTCTTCAAATCCATAGTATTCATATTTCTAAATAACATCAACAAAATTGGAGTATATTGGTCAGGTAGTTTTTGAGAATTTCTAATTGTTTGTCCCAAAACGCCTGTTTTCCGGCCACCACTACTAATTTATTGAGCAATACAGGGTTCGTTGAAACAGCATTTAATAGCAAAATACACGTGCTTACCTTGTCGATATGAATCACAAACCATTCCGAAAGATAAATGTTATTTTTATGCGAAAAACAAAGGTTACGTTTTTTTCTTCTAAACAAATTCAAACATTTCGTATTTGTGAGTAATTGAACAAATACGCAACGATATTGAAAAACATACGTTACTATACACATTTTAACATAAAGCGAATGGTCTGTCATCTTTTGTTGCGAATTACTCACAAATTCAAAATGAAGAAGAAAAAACGTAACCCATCCTTTTCTGAATACTCGTACTAATAACATTTATCTTCCGGAATAGTTTGCGATTCATATCGGCAAGGAACATTAGTGTATTTTCCTATAAAATGTTCTTTGAACTAACTCTGTATATTGCTCAATAAACTAGTAGTGATGGCCGGAAAACAGGTGTTTTGGGATAAGCAATTAGAAATTCTCAAAGAATACTTGACCAATCAACTTGAATTTTGTTGGGGTTATCTAGAAGTATGAATCCTACGAATTTGAATAAAAAAAATCATTTTACGTGTGGTCTAATTTTGTCGGCCTAAAATACCTTAAAATCTTATATAAATAGTTTTTTCGTTCCTGCCAAAACATCCGATTGCATCCCAAAAAACACATTTCTCATTCTTTGTTGTCGAATAAAAAGTGTTCCCGTAAAAATTGGTGTACCCATTTTATGCGTCCATGTTTTAAATACCCCCTTGAACTTGTAGGAATAAAACCAGACTTTACAATTATTTCGCAAACCAGAGGCATTTTCGTCTAATATGATTAGACTATAAGAAGGAAAAATCTAAAGATACCACCAAAAAACTTAATGTCACCAAAATTGTTAGAAATAATTACCTATTGCCTGGTCTATTTCGGGAAAAACGTTTCATTTGTGCTGTGAAGAAAAATGAAATAAGAGTATGCTTATTAATTACCATGCTGCCAAAATTTATCTGAAAAATTTACTCCATATATGTGATATGTACTTATATTTGCGTATTATTTTAAAACGCTTTATGCTGAACAATAATATTTTCTCACTGAACCAAGTGGAAACTAACGAAGCATTAATCCTCTTAAAAACCTCTCTCAGTAACAACTCAATGCTCAGTAACTTGTACTTGATGAAACAGGTATTCATTAGCAATGTACATCCATAATTAGGTGATTTGTTTTTTTTAAATGCCGCAAAATACACGACTTTCCAGAACAGATGGTTAATTATTGTTAGCTATTTTGTCATTTAGATTGATTTATCAATAGAGTCTGAAATAAAACATGGTCAAAGGTAGTCAAGTAGGTTACCTCTGCAGTTATTATTATCGCTTTGTAAATGATTATGTTAAACACAACTTAGGCCCTATCGAAATAGCACACCGTTGTCCCTGAGACCAATCCTAGACCATGCTGATGAGTTGCCAAAAAGCACGAAACAGCTGTCCACGGTCTGCTGTCTTTGGTCGAACGGACGATAGCAGCATGTTTTATATAGCCCCTCTGAGAAGAAAGTTATGAGCATGTATAACGGAGAAACTAAGGGGATCAAGTCCGTCAAATTGGTCCATAAAATAATTGTGACCTGCTATCCTTGCCCTAGACGTAGTACCGTTCATCTGGCAACGTATCCCTAATAACACTTAAGAAAGGCGGCACGCTGGACGGTGAAGAAAGAGAGCAGACAGGGACGCGGGTGAAACACATTTCTCTATCGGTTTAAGGGCAAATGTACGAGAAAATCTATAATGTTTAAGTATAATAATTACCGGGAAGTGTATTAATATACTGACATTGATACCGCTCCTCCCAGGAATCCTCTAATTTTTTACCCCTGACATTTTTTTCAAAGATGATCAAGATTCTCTGAGACGTCAAGAAACGAAGCTTCAGTGTGAAAATTTCATCTAAATCCGAGCAGTACATTCCATGTTATTAGACACTCAATATTTCATTTTCGAAATTTTTCGCGATTACAATATTTCCTCGCCAGTAGGCGTGGATGAAAATATTCATAACACATATATGACATCAGAGATATAGCATCAAGGGTACGATCACCGAGGCTTCAGCATCGGCTTCCGCCACAGTGCAAAAAATATACCACACATTCGGCAAAAGACGCCGACGGTTTTCAAAAATACTGTAGGAGTGAAAATGCTTATAATCTTAAGACAGCGAATTCGGGAACTATAGGAACAAATGCAATGCTGATTGCCTATGTTCATTTAGCTCCGCTCTGTGGGTTTGTTAGTTTGTTACTCATTAAATAAAATAGAAAAAACATGCAATTTTGCATCATTCACTGAAATTTAACAAAAAAAAAAAACAAATGTGCCAAATTTATCATCAAAATGCTAAAGAGTAAAGAAAAACCTCTCTGATGTCGACGATGTCCTCTAATAATAACGATTACAACCTACGACGAAATGCAAATTTTAAAATCCATTCTGATCTTTAGGGTATTATATCACCCCCAAAGTAGTGATGACCTAAACAGTTATTTTAGAATAACAGTTATAACCGTCTCATTACCCGTCAATAACCGTTATTTTTAGCAATTATTTAGTTGCTGGCAGTTACTTACCTGAAACTTGACTTTACGAGTTTAAATCACTGCACTACAGTTTATTATCGGTATCTGCACTTAGTTCCTTCAGTTCCCTCTACTTTTTTTATACTCCAACTACCACGAAGGCCTAAGGCCTAAGCACCCATTGGGTACCGTGGGGCTATAGGGGGATACATGGGAAAGGGGGAACGCCACACGGACTCTGGCGAGGGAACACGTGTGCATGCAACATGCACACATTCTGGCTCCGCCTACGAGATCCGCCGGGTGGTACCTCCCCGTTCGACAGTCAGAGACCGTCTACCACCTACTGATACAAAAAAAGCTTTAATTAGATATGCAGTTTTTTAAGAATTTCTACAATATTCGGCCTGATATATTTTAAAGGCACAGTCAAATATACATTTTCATAATTTAAACTTTGTAAAGTTATACTGATCGATATCATGATATATTGTGGATGATTGAAAAATAATGAATTACATACCCCGAGAAAGGTATCCCCCTCAAAATGGATTTTGTGTTGTGAATAGTACCCAAAAGATCGGTGCAAGATCAACGTATGCACATTGCATCGCTGTAGCTGGTTTATTCAATAAATAATCAATTACCTGTAGATGGATTGTGGAGCAGTACAGTATTGATACTATACTAAGTGACATATAAATCCGAACACCCAGTTTAAATGGTTTCATTTTAATAAAAGTTGGTGAATGTAATTATCTTACTGTAAATAACAAGTGAAACAATTTTCAGCCTTATCAGTTGGACATTCCGGTTTTTATACTGCTTTTTTTTAATTCACTAACGCTCTAAAAATGAATATTTCAGCCGCAGTAAAGAATCAACGTTGGCGGATTTTGGTTCTCGACATCCTTTACGATCGGTTACGATGCCTAGAGTACGGAGACCTGTACGATTTCGTCAACTTAGTGAGTTTGATAGGGGCCGGATAGTGGGACCTCGGGAAGCTGGACTTTCTTTTCGGGAAGTGTAGACACTGTGGTTCGGTGTTGTCAGGCATGGCTTCGAGAAGGCCGTACGCAAAGAGCAAGGGGCACTGGATGCCGCCGTAGAACAATAGACCGTGAAGATCGCCACCTAAGATTATTGGCCTTAAGGGACCGTTTCTCCACGACCAGGTCCATTGCAAATGAATGGTTTGCAGAACACGGAAGACCTATTGGCATGCGAAGTGTTTACCGACGAATGAGATGTTTTGGCTTGTTTTCATACCGGCCCTCCCTTTAACTCGAGAACACCGACGTAATCGCCTTGAGTGCTGCAGACAACGGTCACTCTGGGATCAGGAATGGAACAGTATTGTCTTTAGTGACGAGTCTCGATTTTGTCTCGACGTGGTGAAAGGAGGAATCCACAGTTTTTTGTTGAAAAACATGTTCATCACACTGTTGGAGTTATGGTTTGGGGTGCTATAGCTTATGGTTCCAGGTCACCTTTAATCTTCATAAGAGGTAACATGAACGCGCAGCGTTATATCCACGAAGTTCTAGAACCCCATCTTTTACCCTATCTTGATACCCTGGCAGATCCAACTTTCCAACAAGATAATGCCCGACCGCATGTTGCAAGAGTCACAATAGACTTCTTTCAACATAATGATGTCACATTGTTACCATGGCCACCAAGATCTCCCGACTTATCCCCAATTGAGCACGTGTGGGATATGATGGGTAGGAGATTGCTCAATTTGCAACGTCCTCCTCAGACTCTAGAAGCACTTCGAGAGGAGTTGGTGGTTGCCTGGAATGAGATACCACAGGAGGACATTGACCACCTGATCAGAAGCATGCCTAGGCGCGTTGGAGAATGCGTAGCACATCAGGGTGCATCCACACATTATTAAAGGTCAAAGGGCTTTAAAGCAGTGCAATCATTTTGAAATTTTTATCATTTACTTATTATGCTTCATTAAGTACTTATACAAAATTTTATTAAAATAAAACCATTTAAACTGGGTGTTCGGATTTATTTGTCACTTAGTATATGTGTTCGGCAAAATGGGTCGAAGGTGGCCTTGTTGCCATGCTGCCCCTCTCCACCACTAATACTGTAAAGGTCCTTATAGCTGCTTACCCGATTGGACAAACACCCAAACAAAGAAGATCATGTTTTTAGGAGACATTGCATTTGGCATTTGATTCCCTCCTACTTCAAAGTATTATCAAGGGAAAAACTGATCCAAATCTTTGTTTTCAGCAACCTTTCCAATGACGCGTAGGATAGGACACCCGTACCAAAACCGAACGCCTCCAAAACGGAAGAAGCCCAGAACGTCCTTTACCCGCCTGCAAATAGCGGAACTAGAAAAGCGGTTCCATAAACAGAAGTACCTGGCGTCAGCCGAAAGGGCAGCGCTCGCAAAAACATTGAAGATGACGGACGCGCAAGTCAAAACGTGGTTCCAGAATCGGAGGACAAAGTGGAGGTGAGTACCGTACAGCTATTACAATTTAGTGTTGCCAAGTTTTATCAGTAGATCTACTACTCTTTAGAATTACTCTTCGCTTAAAAATTACATAGCATTGAGTATTTATACAGGCAAAACACAATGTAACGCTGTCATCAGTTCATAAAGGATAATGTTAGACTCAAGAAGAAAGGGAGTCTCGAGCATGTATAACAAAACAAGTTTATTGGACCAAGTCAGTCAAACAGGCTCATACAGATGGACCATAGTCTCCCCACATTTAACAACGTGCGGTCTAGAAGTTTCTCCCCCGCGCTACCGACAGTACCGGCCGTCTGAGAACGCTATGATTAACCTCGCCACTCGTCGGCCCAGCTACCTGCCTCTATCATGTGTTAGATCTCAGTGTGTATATCCACGCTGGTATATATCTCAAGGGTACGAAAAATGATCAGGTTGAAAGCGTATAAATATACTACGACGAACAACTTCAGATATTCCCTCCTCCATCCCATCCATCCCTCAACCTTTAACTATAACATTTTTTTCTTGAAAATGATCATTGACAATGTCAAGGCACTCTTCCATCAGTCGCACTTCTTCATCTTTGCGCTACTCCCTTCTACCTTTCTTTCTTCTTCCCTTTTTTCTCTCTGACTTTGTCTGGTATCTAGGCAACCGGACCTGGCAGACCTGCTGACCAAGAGCAAAGGTTTCACAAACCGCTCTGACAGACAGTTACGATCAAAAATAGGAACACATACAATGCACCTAGCAACAAAGAAATCGGTAAGTAATTGTTCAGGTTCATTACTGAACGCTCAGCGTTTATCCTCTGTAATTCAAAAACGATGTGAATTTACTTGCAGTTCTGCAGTAACGTTGTGATGCACTTAAGCTTCATACGGCTAGTTTTTTTTTAACATTTCTATAGCTGTTTCCATATATAAAGTGAAAAAATTATGGGAAAACATTACTAAGACAGATGTATTAATTTTTGAACAACGTATTTCTTAAACGAGGTAGTGGGTGAGTAATATCTATCTAATATGTTGCTATTTAAATCCCCTATAATTCTGGAGTTGTGTAATATGCTATATAAAAATAAGTATACCAGATAAAAGTGAAAAGTTCAACTCGATTTCAATAAACAATTATCACTCTATAATTGTACTCTTAATTATAGCATAATAGTCGAAATGAAATCTAGAGCAAATAATGGAAGGATATAATTATTGATCTAGTTTCCTGTAAATTTGCTACACATACGATCGGAAACTGCCAATAATGTATATTATATTCATTAGCAAGATACTAACGCCGGAAATTTTATACCACATTATAAATTGCTGGATAACGAAACCAGTTTTATATTTGATTAATAAGCAACGAATAATAAAAGTCTTTCCGCTGAATCAAGACAAGACCTATCTAATGTGGATGCTACTGCACTACACATCTGAAACAATGTGTGCCTGAGAGATTCTAAATTGACAGAAAACCGTTTTCTACACAGACAGACAAAACATATTCTTTCTGCGGAAGGTTTTACTTTTAAGTATTATAAGAACATAAAATTTGTCAATAAACTAAATAACATTCTGAGGTCCAAAGCATGAATTTTTAGTTACTCTTGCTGTGGTGTATTTATGGTCATAGTTATGAGTTACGGTGATGGATTACTTTAATAATGCTTTACGGTTAAAGGACACTGATAACATCAGCGTTAAAGGCAAATAAAATCTACAGTATTAGGTATGTTTAAAAGCTTAAATGGAGAACAGAAATATAGGCTTTACTTTATTTGTTTGTTTTCAAACTGAGGCAGGTTTTATCCTAGATAGCGGATGGTGAAATTTCACAGTTTTGTTAAACTTTTAAAAAGATGAATTCAATATGAGCCAGCCAGAGGGATAGAAAATGAATCAAGGATTCAACATGCAGGTGTTTTTGTCACTGCATACTGTATGTTGTTTGTTTGAAAAAGCATGATGTAACTTTGTAAAGAACCGGTGAGACAAAGGTGTGAGGATACGTCTGACCAGCAAAATGCAGCTTGTAGTACGTGGAGCTAGAAAATTTTTATATATATCTGATACCTATTTTTAAAAAGACATTAAAGAGCGTGACGTGACCATGGGAACCCGTACGAATTTTTTTCAGGGAGCGGAGCGGTCATTGGCAATATAACTCTGCCAATATGAGCTTATTAGGTAGCAATATTCTAACGATACCATCGAAAAAAATTACCGTTCCGAAATTTGTTGGAAAAATACCTATTTCCTGTCCTATCTGTACGATCACGTTTAAATTCAGCAGTCCGATTAAATACTAATTGTCCTGGCCTAGCATCACTTCCTAATACATTTACTATATCAGTATGATTTTCATCCCTATTCAGTCCTTTCTTATACAAGTATTTAGTATTTCAGTATTTAATCAATCCTCATTTTCCAGAAACATTTCAAATCACCGCGTATGTTGTAGTTTGAAGAATACCAGCTTTCAGCTAGTATTTGAAGTCTATTTGAAATGATGAAGTTCTAAACCCTCGTACAAATACCAGGACTTTCACCCCATTTCCTCCTTACCGTACCCCGGATACCAGACAACGGGCGATCTAGTCGCCCCTGGAGACAGTTGAATAAAACAATCACCAGGGTTCGGGTCAGCAGCAAGAATTTCCAATCACCGCTGTTTACCATGAAGGCGAAATACACAGCTTTATTTTCAACTTTGATGCCTATCCAGGGAATAGCCATGCATTCGTTTCAATGGTATAGATAGGAATTATTTAGTTCCAACTGCTATCGCATCGATAGCCATGGATTGGAATTGAATTTTACTATGACCAGATTTGTGGTGCTTGTAAGTGATCTAAGAATAAAACAAATTTTTAGTGTAAGAGCCAAGACTGAATACAAGCATTGATGTACAAAAAGCAATATTTGTTACTTTAGCAATCTGTATGCTACATATTTTTTTAAGAAAAACCAGTCATTCTTACATAACTCCATCATCAGGGGATGCTGAAGATCTCAATAATCACAAAATTATTGAAGGAGACTGGAGAAGAGATACACTTAGTCCAATGGCGAGTAATTTACAATTGTCCTTGTCACTGTTTGCGCTAGAGACGTTTTTACTGCCTGATATGCTATATAGTTTGCTTTCTTCTATATCACTGAAACTTGTTTACCTGTTCTTCGGCATTATTCCTTGAATTCTTCGGAACGACTCGTTCAGAACAAACCGAGCTCTACTTTGACTTAGTATCGGTACAAGTAAAACAACCAGCATTTCCTCCTTATATCCACTTAGCAAATGCTCCGTGTGATTCCCAGTGCACAAATTCAATTCTTTTGTAATCAGAAAGGACCTGTAACCATTAATGATAGTTGTAAGCGGCCGTTTAACATGAAGGTTCACTTATAAAGGCGGATAGTTAAGGCAACATACGGAAGAGGATGTTGTTTTATGGACACGGCGCTTGTTAGAACTTAATTGTCGTTTCTTGCATGACAAATTTATTAAGGAAATTCGCAGGGGTTTGAAAGCCTTAGGATACGTTCAGGACACAGAGTATTTATTTTCTGTGTCAAAAGCAATGCATATTACAGCATAGAAAAATAGATATTGTAAATTCATATTAGTCTAATCATATTAGACGAAAATACCTCTGGTTTGCGAAATAATTGTAAAGTCTGGTATTATTTATGTAAGTTGTTCAAGGGAGTATTTACAATATGGACGCAAAAAATGGGTACACCAATTTTCATGGTAAAACTTTTGATTCGGCTACAAAGAATGAGAAAACGTGTTTCTTGGAATTCAATCGAAAGTGTTTTAGATATTTATGGCACCTACAAAATGAGACCACACGTAAAAAGATTCGACTGATAGCAAAATAGCTATAGCCGAAAACAGAGGCAAACTACAGATTTTCACACTTGTTGATAATGCAACGATGATTTCCCGCAGATACTTGAAATTCTTCAAATTCGCAGGATTCGTACTTCTAAATAACTTCAACAAAATTGCAGTAGATTGGTTGAATAGTTTTTGAGCATTTCTAATTGTTTATCCCAAAACTCCTGTTTTCCGGCCATCACTGCTAGTTTATTAAGCAATGTACAGGGTTAGTTCAAAGGCCGTTTTATAGCTAAGTACACTAGTTTACTTTGCCGATATGTATCGCAAACCATTCCGGAAGATATATGTTCTTATTAAACAAATTCAAACATTTCGTATTTTTGAGTAATTCTTAACAAAAAACGATAGACACATCCGCTTTGCTTTGAAATGTGTACAGTAACGTATGTTTTTCGAATATCGTAACTAATTTGTTCAATTACTCACAAATACGAAATGTTTGAATTTGTTTAGAAAAAACGTAACCTTTGTTTTTCGCATAACAATAATATTTATCTTTCGGGATTGTTTATGGTTCATATCGGCAAATTGAACAAGCTCAATGCGAGTAGAGAGAACCAAAGCAGTATCTTACGTACGCTACTAAGGCCCGATTTTATTTGTTGACTCGCGGGTCAATTAAACGGCGGATCAAAATTGACCAGTCAGAGATCTAATTAATATAGTCGACTTCTTCTAAAATATGTGTGAAACTAGTGAAAATTATACAATTCGTGGAAGAAGAGGCTCTAATCCCAATTTTAAATCATCATCATGATCCAATTAGCATTTTGATCATCGGATAGTAAAATCAGGCCTAAAGGCCACAACCGACACTACTCGTAGAAGCCAATTTTTAAGGCAGCTTTGAGTAAGAATCGTAATTTGGTACTTGAGCAAAATATGATCATTCTTAACAAATGTTCCAACAACATTTCTTATTATTCTTGTATCTTTAGCAGAAGTCTGAAATGAATAACAATTTTTGATAAGCATGCATTGAAATACCTGCTTTGAGGACTGTATCTTATATACATATTGTATACACTTCACCTCTTCTAAAAGTATTATATTATATCTGCGATAGAACTTCCCTGTTCTCTGTCG